AGTAATAGGTTTAGCTGTAAAACTGATTTTGCGTTCTAGACAATATTTGTGCGAAAACAAATGCCGTGCCTGCAAATGACGACAAGTTGCTTCTTGCGCATAAGAAATGGCCTCAAAACGCACACTGTCATTGTTAATGCGCAAATATTGTCAACAACGCAAGAACACTATGGCTACCGTCAAGTCTTCAAGAATTTTGGTAGAACAAAAACGTATGAGAACTGCATAAAGTCTCGAATATTCGGATGAGATGAGATGTGTAATGTCAAAAGTTGACGACCAAGTTGGAAAGCACTCAAGTGCATGAAAGCTATGATGCGCAACAGGGCACTTACATTACGAGAGATGCACTTATTCAAAGATTATCGGGTTGAATTCGGCAAAACACGGGTCTACGAAGATGGATGAGCGTGAGCGAACTGGGAAACCATAAACTCAATACTAAATGTTGAGAGGCAGGATTTCTGCAGTATTTTTGGTAGGTTTTTGAGTTATGGCAGTGACGTTCAATTGAGTTGCAGGAACAATTTTATTTGTGCCGAATAATCATATTCGCGTTGAATCTGCACACGAGAAAATGTTTTGTTGCCTCATAGAGCAAACAGTTTTCCATATCTCGACTTTTTGCGAAAAGGCATTCGTGTATGTTTAGTTAATGTACATAAGGAGGTTCTTCCATCTATCAATCAAGATGTGCATCATGTAAAGGTTATGAGGAAGTCATTATATATCGGAGTATTACAATAAGAGGAGGCAAAGGCAGATACCAATTAGAGGCAACTGCATGACGGAGGCAGAAGCAGTATTATTTGAGCTGAAGCAAATGCGACGCGCACGTATCCTCACCGTTAAGAATCCTGCGCCTCATGCGCTCTGCGCCTAATAAAGTCGCGCTCACGCCCAAAGATGCTGCGCCTTTGTCGGGTAGTAGCCTATATGTGTCTAGAATACATAAGCGTTGCCGACGCTGTTTAACAAGTTTAGAAACATATTCACCCAAGATTTAAAACACTGACGACGATGTGGACCATCAGTGGCCCATACCCCTTACATCATGTCCTCTCCGGGCCTAGTACATATCTTCTCCACAGTTCGGTAATTTTTCCAGCCAAGAGTCCGTAGTTGATTACAAAACAACTTTACTTTCGTAAATATCACAAAACTTTTCCACGCCGAGAGCGCCGCCACGCAAAATTAGCTGCCGTTGTCAATGGGCTAAAATAGTGAAATACCTAAGAATTGTTGGAACACAAGTTTGTAATTGTTAATCGGTACGCAAAGCATTCTTGAATCAAATGCTACGGTTTAAGTCATGTACTATGACTTGCTGCGGCGGGACCGTGTCTGCCCTCTACTTGTTCACTGCAGTCTCTAACTCACATGTTAGTGCCTCGCGTGAGCACACCCACGTAAACCCCTGGTGCTGGTGCTGCGGACTCGCGATCCTACACCTATGATTTGTGTCAACGAAGGTTGGGGCAGACTTTTTTGTTCGGGCAAGGTTCGACTTCAATGTTCAATGCCATGAGGAACCCTCTCGGAACATCATCGCGCAAGTGCGAGGCCATAACTTTTGATCAGAAGCCGAAATATCGTCGGAGCTGGGAACTGCTCCGATGATATTTCGGCTGAGATATCGTCGGCTAAAAAGCTGGGAAATCTACCCAGGGGCGGACCTCTCCACCTATCCATACCTAGGGATGGGCATATATCAGTGGCAATTCGAGGCCCCCCCCCCCCCGAAATTCTTGAAATTTACTTACGTAGGTTATAAAAATGTGCAAGTAAGTTGTTTATTTTCATAAACAATTAAAACAATTTTTGATTTTTTTTAAACATTCAAATTACCCCTACAAATAAATTTTTCCGGGGGCGTGGCTGACACCACGCACCTCCATTTAAAAAAAAATTATTGCCGCGCCTCCTTCGGACCGAAATCCTGGGACCGCCACTGGCATATATCACGCAATTTCATCGTTCCACTCTAAAGCCGGGACGAAATCGGGTTCTTGCGTAAGACTACCTTTTTTGCAATTTTCATTTTGTGAGTGGACTCTTGCGGGACTTAGGCTGGGATACTGATTCCCATGTTCCGGAACTGTTCCCGCACTGTGCCGGAAGAACTGTTCCGGAACTGTGCTGGAACAATTTCGGAACATGGGAATCAGTATGGACCCAACCCACGAATGACTGAGGATTGATTTTCTGCTCTGCGGCAGAATACGCATGCCGCTACAGTTCGAGTCGTAAGGTCCCGAAGCGATTCCGCGTCTTACAAGGAAACGATACTCGATGTCCGTGGCTTTTTGAGATGAGTTGTATACCATTACACTCGTCTTGGAACGCTGATTCCGAATCTGGCTTCCGTTTCTGCTAATCACTTCAAAGATGTTGTAAAGGATTGTGCTGGCTGGCTGTCCATTGAAATATGTTCAAAGCGGCAACGGTGAAGGTGCGGTGTGGTCTAGTGGTTAACGCGACAGGCTCATGAGTTGAAGCAGGTGTAGGTTCGAATCCTTCTGTGTTTTTCAGTTTTGCGTTGCCTCAACAAACCTTCTTGCGGATCTTCGAGCTAACTGAAAGCCTTTACTCTTCAAAAAATGTGGAAATTTGGAAAAAATCTACTTGCGTTAAAATGTATCCAATGACCGTAATTCAGTGAATCTCGAACAGCCTTAATTGAGGTAGTGCAAAATAAAAACACAAAAGGATTTGAACCTACACTTGTATCAAGTTATGAGGCTATCACACTAACCACTAGACAATAGCATGGCGCCGGTAGAGGCCGTTCTGGTGACCATACCCTGGACGGATAAAGTTGGCTCAAAATTCCTCCATAACTTCCTTCAGAGAAACGATTAGCAGAAACGGAAGTCAGTTTCGGAATCAGCGTTCGAAGGCGAGTGTAATGGTATACATTTCGTCTCAAAAGGCCACGGACATTGAGTATCGTTCACTTGTTAGCCTTGGCTGGAGCTGTTGCACTCGTCTAAATAAAGGTGAGGTTTTGGGAAACGCATGTTGTCGACATCCTCGCTTCTGAAGTGAGTTTTTGGATACAGCGTTGCGGGTAACCACAGGTGAGTGGATTTGCTAAAACTCAACTCGAGTTTTTGCACGGACATGCCTTTGACATACACTTGTCGCAGTGGACACAGTTTTTCTATCTGCTCATTACTCTCGTAAAAACGACTCACATTCTTGTGCTTCTTCTAACCATACTGAGAAAGGATGATTTTTTGAATGGCCAGATCACATTTGCATTGTTGCAATTCTGAAAATTCAGCATAAGAGCCTATCTCTCAATCAAGTGTACCGCGGCAGGATGATGAAAAGCAAACGATGAGAAATAGATTTAGGGCCACAATATGCGGCAAAAACGTAGTATGCAAATTTGGATAATAGTGAGGAAAATGATCATCTATCGTCCCCTCCACAGTTGCTGTACCCCTGGTCTGCGTCTCTAACCTGCGGCACGCATATCTGACATGTTGGCAACATGCAACAACATGTTGGAAATCCTTTTTGGCTTCTGGCTTTGAGGGATCGGCCATACTAATCCAGTAGGTGGTTCCTGCGATTCCTGTAATTCGTGCAATTCCTGTGATTCCTCGACTTCCGACGTGCCGCATTACGGAGCGCTTTGCGAAGTTCACTACACGTTGTTATTTTGCAATATAAATTGTCACAGGACCAGCAAGAGTCACAGGAATTGCGTGAATTGCAGGAACCACAGAAAGTGACCGTTCAGATCCGCCGGAACCCGCCCGCCCGAACCTGCCCGAACGCCCGGAACGCCCGAATATAGGCCGTCCGCGCGGGGCGCGGAGAGTGCGCAAAGTGTGTACCGCACGTCACTCCTCTTTTCTATTGCACTCTCGCCCGCTTGTTTTCTCTGCGCCTCTTCCGGTCACGAATTGTCTGTGATGGACGCGACAGCATTGCTCTCCGCGCACGGCGCGGACGGCCTATACGTCTAAATCCGCCCAAACCCGCTCAAATACGTCCGAACCCGCCTGAACTGCTAAAGCGCAGCGGATTGGATGCAAATTGGCATATCAGAGCAGGCATGCGACTGGTCCTTCTTATCGGAGTAGTTGCAAAAGAAGATCATGTAATGTCGAGCGATATCTATCTACGTGTGACTAAAATATATACACCAAGCGCGCAGTGTTTCACGCGTGCTCCAATGTGCCAATTTGCCGCATATCCGCTGCGCTTTGGCAGTTCCGGCGTTCAGGCGGTTCGGGAGGACTCGGGCGTATTTGGGCGGGTTTGGGCGGATTTGGAAGTATCCGGGCGGGTTTGGACGGATTCCGGCGCGGTCTGAATGATCCCAAATACAACGGCCGGTCGCTGATGTCAACATGTTGCTGTATGTTGCCAACATGTTACCAACGCGTGTCGCAGGTCAGAGACGCGGACCAAGGATAGCAGCAAGTGGAAGGGGGGAGACGGTCGAATGGCGCGTATTGGTCGATTGTCACTAATCAGAAAAACCAGGAAAAAAATTCGAAATTGGTCTTCCGGGATTCAACTATAATCCTCTGTTACTATTTCTCGTATGATGACAAAACTTTAAGAGTTTGGAAACCTCGTTTTTGTAGAGTGCAAATCCCTCCTGGCAACGACTGCTGAAACGCGGCCTTTCGACATACACCCGTGGAAGGGACTATACTAGATATCCCATTCCTTTCCGCGGCTCGTACGGCGTTGCTGGAGCGATGAATCCCTCTCGTTTTGATACCTTTCGTCTAGACGACTGATCTTATCTTTTCTTGCGAATGTAGGTGCTTGAATTATTTTTTTTATCGCAGTGAAATTAATATAGGCTCTCATTGTATTTAGATTTACTCGCTGCCTGCTTCGTCTTCCTGATCTGGACATGTGTTGCAGTTGTTTCTGGCGCGAAAATGACCACACGTCAGGCGTGACAGATGGTGTGCTCGTCAAAATTTCTGCAATTGACATTGTTTCAGTTTCGATGCCTCCCGTATCCAGATCAATATCATCTTATTGAGTTCTAAATAGCAAGTCCCATTTTCATTTGTTAGGTTCTATTGTCGTAGTCGGTTCCGTATGGTGATGGCATTATGAAGCCACGGTCACGTCCTTTCCATAGGCGTAATCGGTGAGGTTTTTCAAATTCAGCCTAGAAAATCCGTCATTTTCGAAAAATTAGATGTCTAGATGTAAACGAATGCAATACATTATTACTATGTGTTACCACACATTAGCAAATTTTTGACTTGGGAGACCTAGTGTAAGATTCGTACTATAACTCTTCAAATTGCACAATGCATGAACGTCAATCTTTTCATTTCACCTTTTTAGTTTGCTTATTCTTTTTCCTGCTCAATTCCATCTGAAGATAGACGTCGATGAATATTTATTACTATCGTATGTGATGCTAACCGCATAACTAATTGTTATGATGCGATGAAGCCAGAACAAGATTTTTACGTAGAAACTTATCCATCATTGCGACACCTCTCGCTAACCATCAGCCACTGACATTACTAGTCCATTGCTTACTAGCTGGCTAATTGCGAGATTGGCAGATGTGTGCAGATAATTTATGGTTACTCATGCTCGTTAGACGGATTATTTAAAAGAAGTACGAATGCGCATCACTCCGAAATCGAGAACGTCGGCGCTTGGACTTGATTTCTCCTTATTACCTGAACCTTTGGCTTGTGATCCAAACACGGCACCACTTTTTTGGCTTTCTCTACTCATTTCCATGATCTTATATACGATGCTTTGATGTAGAATCAACCTCTATCTTATTTTACAGTGCCAAATGGTTGAAAATATGGCTACTGTCTTCACGTGTCTTCATTGATGTCCGTATATTCACTGCTGCAGTATTGTTAATATTATTCAAATGTAATAGATTTGCTAATATCTTTTCCGCTTTTGTTTCACCCATCTGGCGCAGATCCTTGTCAGATGCAGTGAAGTGCGTTAACTTCATTAATCGCTTTGTATCGTTGCGCATAACCGTGAATAGAGATGAAATGAATTTATTGTTATGAATGGTTCTTCTCGAATACTTTACGACTTCTTGCACTCACAAAATCTTCCTTACATCAATATTTTCAGCCGAATGCATAACTGTAGCAAATTGAATACTAGTACTAACTCATCAAGCAACGGCTCTCCTCATGGACGAATAAGAAGACCCATGCGCACCTCTATTACTCCCATGCGTAAGGGGAAAGTGAACGCGATTGTCAGGTATACTTCTCTATATTCTCTATGAATTTATAGTTGCATCGGCGAAGATTTCCTATCAGAGCGCGCCGCCAATGCACTCAACCTCGGTCAGTTTAGTGTTGGTCTTCTTTCTACTTATCCCTGCTAACTGTCAAAAGCTCTAGAAAAATATGCAGAGCAATTTTCTCGGTTTCCTGACCGAGTCTTAATTTTCTCGGCGAATTATGGCGGGGGATTTTGCTGGGAAATGTTTTGTTGGAATATTGTTTAGGATGAGGATTTATCACTTTTGGTAAATAATTGAAATTTTCAGCACCATCCGTTCTGAAGAAAGAATACGTGAGCTGGAATCTTGCCTCTTGCAAGAAGGTGTTGATAAGGAATCAGCAATGCAAAGGGTGCAGGAAATGTTCAACGAGTTGACCAAAAAGGTTCTTTTCAGCGAATCTGCTTTTAATCATTACGAAACATGATTTCGTTCTTGTTTAGCAAGGAACTAGCACCGCTGAACAGGAGAAAACCGAACGTCGTCTTATGAGCAAGAATGAAGAACTGCAGGCGACACTTGCTGAATTGACTGAGGTAGACCCTACCCTAAAAGCTTAATCTTGAGTTCTTTGTCGTTATCTCAAATGTTTTCAAAGTGACATTTTGTTATAGGTCCGCTCTACCTTGTCCACTCTGGAGCATAAGTATGCGCATTTGCAAAGAAAACATGAGCGTATAGCGAAAGAAAACGCAGAGATGAAAAAAGAACTGGAGGAGATTCGGAGAGAGCTCTTGGAGCGAAGAAGGCGATCACTCGCGAAGAAACCTTTGGATCTCAACCAGGTAGTTTCCTCTCTTTGAGTATTAGAACTCAAAACAACTCGCAAATTTAGTCCCTCAATGCGAGCACTGACGAAGGTGTAGATGAAAATGCGGGGCAGTTAATTCTGCGTCAAATGACTGATAAAATCAACCAGCTCAAAGAGGAGAATCAAAGATTGTTGACAACTTTGGAGGTGAGACGCCAATGATTTACCGAATTCAAATTTTTCTCTTCCAGACAGAGCGCGCTGAACATATAGCTCAACAAAGAGATTTTCATACTGCTGTGATAGTTGCTGAACGAGGCAGAGAGGAAGCACAGGCTGAAATGACAAGGTTTCTTTGCAGTTTTTTGCATCTTGAGGTGCTCTTATGTCGCGCTTTTATATTACTATTAAGCTCTTGCAGGTGGATTGAAGCATCAAAAGAAAACTCATCGGCTGACAGCAGTGTCTGGGCGGATTTGATGCGTAGATTTGACAAAAATTTGAAAAGAAATGCACTTTTGGCATGGACACAGGCTCAGTAAGTTTCCTATCTAATTCTTAGTGTTTTCATTTATTTGGAGGAACCCTGTCAGTTAAACATTATCCATAATTTTTAATATATGTCGCAAACTGCTCTCACTTAAGTGTTCTTTTCTAGGCTTACTGCGTATCCTTCATTATCAGTGTCAAACTTCAGTTCAGACTGGTCAGACGGTCGAGCGTTCTGCGCTCTCATTCACAATATTCATCCAGACTTGGTAAGTTTGCAACATTCTCCCCTCTGCTATCATTTCAACACGAAAAGATCTTTTTCTGTTACAGATAGACCGTGCACAATTGCATCAAAACGGTTGCAGAGAACTTGCTGTCGAGAAAGCAATGCAAATGGGTGTCAACATCGATCCACAAATATTTTCAGTATCTACCCCTGACTGGCACCTTGTGATGGCTACTGTTTTTGAGCTGTATAAAAAGTACGAGTTTTCTGAAGATAGTTGTCTTTAGTTGCACTCGCCTATCCTTTTTTTTAAATTATGTGATTTCTTTGATTGTTTGCTCACTGACAGTGCGACTTCACTACCTTTGATTTTTCTCGAGATGTTTGTACCAAATCGCTCTGCGTCTTTCTTTTAGTACAGATCCATTCTGCCATTAATATTCTTCATAAACACGCTTTAAAAGTTGAATACTCGATAATCTAAGTCTATCCTATCATGAAAGATGGTTGCTAGCTTGTTCCTATCGCATCGCATTTTTTTGCGATTCTTGTGAAATGATCGATGACTGTGCAATGAATGAGTGTGTTTGATCTAGCTTTAGGAAAGCTATGTTATGACCCGTGAGTAATCATCGCAAAAATAACGTAATCTAGAGTTGGGCGTCAGAAGGACCGTTGCTCAATGACGGTGTCTTGGCAAAAATGAACATCTCATTATGATATGGTAGGATGTGCATCATGCAGCTCTGCAAAAAAAACTGCCCGCAAACCTTGCGCCAAGTCTTCTCTGCAAGCGCACGGACGTGCTTGCGATTTTTCCCTCAGTTAGGGGCGGCATGCCACCATGTGCTATCACGACAAGATCCCCGCAGATCCTTGGATTCCTTGGCAGAAACTGTTCCACTAGTGCAAAAACAAAAATAAATCTCAGAAAATGCTGACTTTTGCCATTTTCGCGCTCTATAAGGTGAGTTTTCGGAATCAGCGCGTCCGATTACCCCAGGTAAGCAAAAAAATTTGGGTTGAGGATTTGCAATGCCATCGGCTCTCAAAACAAATTCTGCGCTTATGTTCCATACCTAAAACGGAGGGCTGGTGCCTATATAGGGTATGATGATCCCTGTGTGTGTTCAACGAGGAAGCGCAACTAGCCACCTGCTTTACGAATGCTTGGACATTCGTCTCTTGAAATCGCATGATTTCGTAAGCGATGTGAAATTTCTGGGTTGGGACGGCGCTTGTAGGCGTGTATTGTAAGGCGTGGTCAATTTATTCGAGCGAAAAGATTTGGACCTTGGAGAGCAGATAAGGCTCTGCCGAGAGGGAGCAATCTGTTTGGATTCGAAGTCGAAGTCAGGGAAGGCTCTGCTGCTATAGCCTATTATAAGTGCGCGATGGACGGAATTCGTATGCACTATAGTCGAGGCAAGAAGCGTGTTCTTGCAAAGTAAAGATGTACGAGCAGGGCTGAATGCAGTGAATTTAGAAATGGGTCTAACAGCGAAGAGCTGAATGCCGAGAGAACGATGCCCTGTTGCATAACTGGTCTCACTTTCGCGGCACCATGGAGAAAGAATGGCTTAGTGTTAGATGCACAGTGTTGACCAGACTGACCAAAGCTCCGTTCAGCCAGCTAAAAGAAGAATTCGAGAAGTTGAAGGAACGCGTTGCGGGATCATAAAGATGACAAAGCCACCACAGGAGCAGTGATTACGTGCAAGGAGCATTCGAAAGGGGTGGGCTGATACTCTCGCTCTGCCCACCCAAAGTAAGCAGTAATGCCAATATTTGAAAGCTTGTGATGGAATTACAGTCGGTTTCATCCCGGATTAGGCGAGACATTCTACATGGAGCAGCGCATGCGCATCGCTGGAGGATTCGCGAGCGCATAGCGCTGGCATTTTGCCAAGCAAAGACTAAGGAGATTGAAGAGACTCAGACATGGGTTCTCAGCACGATAGGGTATACTGTAGCTGCGAAACGGCGCGAGCTGTTGCGAGGCGGACTCCCGCCAATCCAATTTCCGCCTAAAGCGGGTCGAAACTTACTGTATATTCGCTCCTGAATGCAACATTGAAGAACTACGCAGGCTAAATCAGATTACTAGGCTGTTCCAAAGTTCTGTCCAATTTGCGATTTTTTCATTTAAAATGTTGTTCCAAAGTTCTGTCCAATTTGCGATTTTTTCATTTAAAATCTTGTAACTTTTCCCAAAATTAATTTTGAACGAATCAATTTTTTTGAATTAAGCGAGTTTATAGCTATCACAAGCACTATATACCATGCACGGAAGGCAAGCGAGAGAGAAAGGAAAATTTTTAGAATTCTGCAAGGTTTTCTTTAAAACCGTCCAGTTTGACTAACTAATGCATGCGTTTTTTGGTAATTGCTAAAATTCTTTACCCGGCATTTTTTTTCTGCTTAAAAGTTCGGCTAATTTTTGAAGATTTCATTTCAAAGTTTCTGAAAGGATTGAGCATGGTCCAAACAGAGCAGTTCTCGGGCTACATGGTTATATTTCCAGACTCTCTTAATCTGCTGCTCTTAGCTCTAAAAATTATTTCTTCGAAAGTCTCGATTTTTTGGCAAAGTCATGAAACATGCAAGTGCAGTAAAAATATGAAAATTTTCGAAGTTTTTGCGAATTGAAACTTGTTTGTTATTAAAATCATTTATGCAACCTATTTAAGTTTGATCTGCTTTGAAAAATAGCTTTTTGGAAGTTTCGGTACTTTTACATGTTAAACGTAATCGAAAAGCAGCGGTTTTTCTTAAATGAATAATTACTGCGGACTTGATAAAAGTCCCCATCTAATCTAAAATAGATACAATTTGGCCAAAGGTTTGCACTAGTTGCCAGCGCTTTTTGAAAACATCAAGATAAAATTTTTTAGAATTCAGGAAAAAAAGCCATGGCATAACATTGCAAAGACATAAATCAGAGAGCAAATCCAATAGATAAAGAATCATCATCGTCATTAGCTCAATTCAAAAATGTGCAGATAGCGGGGAACCGCGCGGTGGTCCCGAAGCGAACGCTCCAATTTAGCACCTTTAGATTACTGGCTCACTAGTCTTATATATAAAGCTGAATGTCTGTTTGTCTGTATGTATGTCTGTCTGTCTGTACGTATGTTCCGAATAGAAGATTTCATTTCTAAACCGATCCGCACCAAACACGGCACACAGGCACGTCGGGGTGGGGCGGGTGTCGTAGGCTACTTTTCGTCATCGATCGATATCGATTTTATCGATTTTTATCGATTTTTTTGCGAGGTTTGAGCTACGGGGCTGGGAGTTGGCACAGGGGGTAATCGAGCATGGGGATTCCGAATACAATATTGGTTTTCAGGATTATCGATTACTTTTTTTTTACCATAATGTTTTGACAGGGGCGGGCGGAGCCGGGTAAGCCAGCTAGTATAGCTATAAGAAAGAGGATGAAAATCTGAATCAAATACGCTTAGAACGTTTATGGATTTTTATTTGGTGAGTTTTAGTGAGCGATGAAATAAAACCGACAAAACTTCCGGGACAACCTAATATTTAATTTTTTCTTGCTGTCGCCAACGAAGAAAGCCAATTGGCCGATGGTTCCTGCTTGCTCTTGCTCTACTCTAACATCTTATATATAAAGCCGAATGTCTGTTTGTCTGTCTGTATGTCTGTCTGTCTGTCTGTCTGTATGTCTGTACGTATGTTCCGAATAGAAAATTCCATTTCTGAACCGATCCGGACCAAACTTGGCACACATACACTTCGGGCCCGGCGGGTGTATAGGCTACTTTTCGTCATCGATCGATATCGATTTTATCGATTTTTTGCAAAATTTGAGCTACGGGGCTGGGAGTTGGGACAGGGGGGTAATCGAGCATGCTGATTACGAATATAATAATGACAGGGCCGGGCGGAGCCGGGTAAGTCAACTAGTATGCAATATTGCATCACTTATCGCTATATGTAGGTTATTGTCGCTTGTTGAATAACTGAGTTTGCCTTTTATCTTTGAAAGAAAAACTAAAAAGCAAGACATTCTCTAGGTCGGAGAAAAAGTATGCTTATGTTAGTCCATCACACCCTCACCCATTATAAGATTTAACATATTTACTTTTACGGATAGTTGTCATCATGAAAACTTTTTTTGAGCAGGACTGCATTTTGGCAACTTTGATTCGGGGATTGAAATTTCAACACTGGAAACTTGATTCGCCAAGCTTCAATGAGCACTAGAAAAAGCAGGAAAAGTACTTCTAGACGGTGTTTATGACAATGCCATAAGTGCAAAACTCTATGAAAATACTTAAAACAGGCAATTGAAAATTGGACAGAGCTTTTGAAACAGCCTAGTACTAACAAGGAAAGGAAGGTTGGTCGAAGTGGCCTTTTGAAATGAGAAGTATACTGCCTTGTAGGACTTGGAACGCTGATTCCAAATCTACCTTTGCTATCTGCTGCGGGCTTCTGGGCGAGGAGTTATGAAGGTTTTTGTGAGTAAAAATCTGAATGCAAGAGTAGGCTAAAATCAGTCGTAACATTTTTTTATAGGGCTTAATTGGTAGTCGGGTCACTCGGTGCAACAAATATTCTTGATTCAAATATACCAATTCGCTGCTGCCTCATTTGAACATTGGGAAAAGGTTACGACTGATTTTACCCTATTTTTAGCATCCAGATTCTTACTCACAAAAACCTTCATAACTCCTTGCCCAGAAGTCCCAGCAGTTAGCAAAGGTAGATTTGGAATCAGCGTTCCAAGCTCTACAAGGCAGTATACACTTTATTTCAAAAAGCCACTTTGACCAACCTTCCTTTCCTTGTAAGTTACTGCGGGAAATGAAAATGGGAAAATCATGATTGAGACAGGGAATGATGTTCATGAAAGTCCATAATGGAGAAAATTGGACTTTCAAACCCCAATTCGTTCGCGGTAGAAACTGGTCGGAATCTGCTTTGGCTAGCGTTGTCCAAGAATCTTTATCCCATCGCAATCACGAGGCAAAGCTGTGTGATGAAAATGGAAACAATCAACCCTATCTAAGCTCTCGCTTGCGAAAGAATCATGCGAAAAGTCCATTTAGAATGGGCAAAATGGGAGTTACCTCCATTTTGAACAGAGAAAGCCCATTTTACTCCAGCAGCAAGGTGAGCTGGGATTAAGCCCATTTTTAACCTTTTTGCACATTTTTAATTGCAATTTTTTGAGAATGGTTCCTTAGCCTATTTTGAGGTAATAAGAAAATGGAAAAAGTTTTATGTCCTTTAAAGTCTGAAATACATGTTTTTTCTAAATCCATACAAATATAAAAATCATGGAATAAGATTAAATTCACCAAAATATTTGCTAACAAAATCAAATGCTTCCAAACATCAGGTCGATGCGAAAATTCCTATGTCAATCAAATAAGGTTTTGTTAACTCTTCAAAACATCAACTAGAACTAAATTCATGCTTTGTATCAAAAAATGAAAGATTTGCGTTTCAATATAATTATTTAGAAGAAATCTTTTGACTAATCTCGTAGAACCAAACCTCAAAGACGGCATCATGCTCACTTACCCCCCTGTGCCAACTCCCAGCCCCGTAGCTCGAACTTTTTGATCGATAAAATCGATATCGATCGATGACCAAAAGTAGCCTATGACACCCGCCCGGCCCGAAGTGTATGTGTGCAAAGTTTGGCCCGGATCGGTTCAGAAATGAAATTTTCTGTTCGGAACATACGTACACAAAGACAGACGTACAGACAGACATACAAACAGACATTCAGCTTTATGTAGAAGATTAGATCAGCCTAACCAGATATCAACCAGTTCTCAGACAATCGCCGAGGGCAGGCGGGCACCGGAAAAATAGATTGCTGATCTCTCGCACCCCGCTCGCGGATTTTTTGTAAAGCAATCAGGACTTTTCGGAAGACCACTTGCTGAGTTCTCGATTTCGCAGAGATTCAGCAATATATCTGCAAAAGATAAGAGCGAAAAAAATTCAACAGGCGGTCTCTCAAAAATCCGCTGACTCAGCAAGCGGTCTTCCGAGAAGTCCTGATTGCTTTCCAAAAAATCCGCGAGCGGGGTGCGAGAAATCAGCAATCTATTAGGTTGGTGCAAAAGTTCTGTCGTTTCATTTTCAAAAATTTGTAACTTCGCCAAATTTCAACGGATTTGCTTGCTTGTAATTTTATTATAAGGATTAGGTCTTCCGCTTTCAATCGCTGTTTTGTGAAGCTTTTGTTTCACACTGAGTGCAGAAAAATGGAAAACTAAGACCATGTAAACTTTGACCATTTCAAGTTGGGTCACCAAAATTCTGGAATGCTGCAGAAAAATCTGAAATCGTCAGTACATATGTTTTTTGGCCTATTCTTTGCATCTGTGAAAAAATTGTGCTGTTTGCACGTCTCTGTGAGAAGTTATGAATATCGAGTGCACTATGGAAAAGGCCAAAATTAATTAATTTGTCAATTTTCGCGAAAATCATAACTTCTCACAGAGATGTCCAAACAGCACAGTTTTTTCACAGATGCAAAGGCTAGGTTAAAAAACATATGTACTGATGATTTCAGATTTTTCTGCAGCATTCCAGATTTTTGGTGACCTAACTTAAAATGGTCAAAGTTTACATGGTCTTAGTTTTCCATTTTTATCTCTGCACTCAGTGTGAAAAAAAGCTTCACAAAACAGCGATTGAAAGCGGAAGAACTATTCTTTCGAACAAAATTACAAGCAAGCAAATCCGTTGAAATCTCGCGAAGTTACAAATTTTTGAAAATGAAACGACAGAACTTTTGCACCAACCTAATATTTTTCCGGTGCCCGCCTGCCCCCAGCGATTGTCTGAGTTGGTGGAAATGAGCTTGCAAGAGTGAGCAAACAGGTTGAGGCAAGTTGAAGAAAGGTTTGCTGAAGAAGTTTTGTATGGAATGAATGGATTCGCAGATGTGATATCTTATCGCACCACATGGACTAAGTCCATTTTATTCGCACGAAAAGCCCATTTCGCGGGGACTATCCGCGGAATCATTCAGAATTGCCGGAATGGATTCATTTGTACTATAGCGGAAAGATTTCGTTTATATTCGAAGTAGTAAGTAATAATTGCGTGCTATATTATTAGATCCAGTGGCAGATACGAATGACAAGTTGCCACTCATTCTTATACGACACAATCTAGCATAACAAGTGCGGTCCGAAGTCGATGGGTTTTCAACAAATTATTGACGGATGAAACGGTTTACCCCATCGACACAACTTGACCGCGTATTTTTCTACCCCTTTCGGCTTTTGTTCTTTGTTTCTCTTTTATATCAAAATTATACAAATCACATATAAATGAGTTGCGTGTTTTGCATACTGGAAATCGAAGTGACAAATATATAAATATACAAGTGTAGAACTTAATTTGCTGAAAAACATACCGTGCCCTAAACAGACTGCTCCCAACAATCAGTTTCACATAAGTGTTGCAAATATTCGCTTATGTTCTTGTCTGGCGTTGCACATTTTATGCTGTTTGTTACGAAATCAATGCGATCATTCCAATCACATATATAACGCGGCCATAGTTTGAACTTGCAAAAGTTCGCAAAAATATTATCAATTTGTCGAGATTTTCATAGGGGCGGTCAGAAGAAGGGTTTTCCAAAAAGAAACTCAAAGCAGAATGAGCTTTAAAGGCATAGCTGGCTTATTTACATGGTATTTTATAGTTCTACAAACAAATGTAGTACCAACAGCAGGTTCCTTAAAGGCAGCGTCCCGGCAAAGATGGGTGCCGGGTTTTTGTGGCGATGCTAAAGTAGACCCCCTACCTAAGCGATGACTGAAGTTTGGAGCGAAAGAGGGGGTTTAACCAAGCCTGAAATTTGCTCCCAAAGTGGGCCAAATCCTACGGTAGGCCCGGACGCCGCTCGCACAGCAATATCGATTTGCAAGGCCAGAGTGCGTATAGCGCACACTCTCTGACATTCGGTGCGTGCGGCGCGCGCGCGCTCCCCGTGCGGCGCTTTGTAGTGCGCGCGGGGCGAACTATGAATGCGCGCGGACCGAACGGTGAATGCGCGCGGGCGCACGGTACCGAAGGCGCTCCGTCCGCAAGCTACTAGAGAATAAGTCTTTCGTAGAGTTTCTTTTTCTTCTTTCGTCGTGCCGTGAGCATTCTCAACTTCATAGGAAAAAAGTTCCGAATTTAGAAAATTCGAATACTTGAATTTAAATTCATAGAATTCAAAAATTCAAATCTAGCACCCATTCGGGACGCTGTCGAGGGGTAATCTCCGTAGAAGCAAGAAACCTCTTATGTTCCTGCGATTACTCAAATGCCAAGAAATGATGAGCCAGCTCCACAAGTAATGGAGCAGCCTAATCACAGCGTCGTACCTCACGCGGGTACCCATTACGCTTATAGCGTGTGAGAATTGGAGGCGCGCGGGCGGCATGGTGAGAATATAGTGCGCGCGGGCCGTACGCTAAGAATTCAAGGCGCGAAGACCGCACGGTACCCGCCCGTAAATGTAGGCCGCGGGCCGCACTACTGGCCGTTAACGCCGCGCGCACCGAATGTCAGAGCTGTCATGAACGCAGGGTCCCGCAACGACTCTGCGTCTCTACCTTGCATGCATCTCGCACTCGCCCGAACCTACCGTAAGATTCGGGCCACTTGAGGGGCTATTTGTAGACTTTGTAGACCCCTTTTCGCGTTGCAAAACTTCTGTCGTGGCTTAGTTAGGGTGTCTACTATTACATTAATACCAGAGCTAGGTACCGCCAGTCTGGTGGGACGCTGTGTTTAAAGGTTTGATGAAAGCCATCCTCAAAGCTTGCTGTTCTTATTTAACTTCATCATAAAGTTCTTTTCGTGAGAAAGTGTGAAGCTGTATCTACGATTTGACTCAGCTTATAATAAATGTGTGTGACGCACTGTGCAGCACTAGTATCCTGCAAGCTGGGCTCATATGCACCGCCATATCAACAGTTATTCTAGAAAAGTTAAGATCGCTTACATGCTGCTGTTTCCTATGGTGTGGTTAAGAAACACGTGGTCGCGACGTCTGGATGCTAATAGCTACGGTAAACCACAGTAAATGTGGGAATTGTATTGTTGACTTTTTAGCTCGTATTGTGTTTGACATTATAAGTATACTCGTCTCTCCGTTCGGCAGCTCCACTTTTGTCAAGTTAGGCAATTGCTGCCGAGTTCAAAGTTTTGATATCTGATAATGAGCTCTTTCAGGTCAGGTGTTCGTTTCCACTGTTTTTCGGTTGCGCGTATCCTATGTAAGTCGGTGTCAAGGATCGGCTTTGTTTTCATTCTGCACAGTGTCTTCGTCTGGGAAGCTGATTTCTACTGATTTCAGTTTTTGTCCACTTCTTCTTTGTGGCTAACAGAGTTCGCAGTGGTTATAAAAGGTGGCAGGAAAAAGAACTCCTAGATGGTTTATTTTCAATTAATGTTTTTTACGACTGGCTTACCACATAAGACAATGGTCGTTACACTTTTTCTAGTAGCACTTCAATCAAAAACAAGCAGAAATAAATGTTTCTTTCATGAAAGACTTGGAGGCAGGGCTCAGTACAAACTATCACCAGGAATTTTTGTAACGAAGTCTCCACTTGCTTTCGCAAAATCGTTACGAAATCTCTTTGATTTCACTAGCTATAAAACACGGGCCTCACATTAGTGAGTCAGCTGTATTTAGTTCTACGAAGTATATGACCATCTGCACAAACAATATGAATTGTAAGTAAACATTGCTGAGAACTCCCAGTCTACTTGCCAGCAAGTCAAAGAGCCAGGAATGTTGGAATGCCGGATGCGTTAAGTCTGTAATCGCTTACATAGGAAAAGAATAGGAAAGAAATGAAACCTGTTCTCCTTCTAGCCACACTTTGTTTTCGATCCTTCCTGCAGAACTCCTCTGCTACTAATTTCCTGAGGCATGAACGAATTGCCAACGCACATCTCCATGAGTAATCTTCAGAAAGCTAGCTATTCAAAGCAAACTTGCAATTGGTCACTAATAGGGAATTCTGAGTAGCTGAAATCCGAAACTGCCTTTCTGCAAAAAAAGGTTCCAGCTGAATAGCAGTCATCGAAACTGTTACAGAGCTTCGCATATGCATACAAAAACGTAGTAATTTAGTGGTTAACGTACTGTAGTCGTTTGATGCATTGGAAGACACGCATTTTATTCGTCTTTCTCTTGAATAAAGTGCACGAGCCATTAGATTGAATGCATCAAATCTTCAAAAAAAAAACAATCAAATCAACAATCTTTTAGTGCTGGGCGCTTGAGACTCTGGCAATATCTTGGGAACAAGGCCTTGTCAACCGCAGAATACGAAAGCAGCATCCAGACGATGCAGAAAACCAATGATGCTCGTGTTCTCTGAAATGGCGGCATGCTGTGTCTGGCGCGCACCACCGCGCCGTTGGAACAGGATTGCTACCGCTGTGTAGAAAATGCGAGGAGCTGTAACCAAGTCTAGAAGAGGCGATTCGAGAAGCATAAGTAGTTTGTAGGGTTTAGGATGTAGATAAGAGTCATGTGAATAGTGTGAAAAATTATGCGAAGAGAGTTAGGTTTATGACTTTGTTTCCTCTAGCCACCTCAGAAGGCTCTGCAGGTGGCAGTATTCATCAACGAGCCCAATAAGCCGTGCATCTCAGTGACTTCGCGTTGCGTGGGCAAACCCATTAGATAGGACAAAAGCTGAGAAAAAAGTTTGCTACGCATCCATTTCACATAACTTTTTCATAATTTTTCACGTAGTTCCAACTTTCTGCTACATCTGTACACCAAATTTGGAGCCATATACAAGTCTTTTGTTCAATTCGGGCACATTAATGATTTTTCGCGCTTGCACTGAAAGCATACTGAAGCGAGAAACTGCTGGTTGTGCAGAGCATATTATCGGCAGGGCCGTGAGCACTTGCGACACCTCCAGAAGATGAAGTACTCAGACAAACGGGGGGAAGTTCCAGCGAACATTGAAGAAAGTTCCGGCGGGTCACCTGGGGAACCCTATTGTAAGTTCCTGGGAACTCCATTCTAAGTTCCTGGGAACTTCAGCTCTTAAAGGCAGTGGATCGGCAAACTTATCAGCGCATGATTTTAACGCAGAAGGTTCCTTATCGCTCAAGCATAAAACAGTGCAATCCCGATTGCACAGCATCCCTTCCCTGCCGAGAAAGCTGCTCTCAAACTTACACGCGCAAGCCAATCTTACACGCGTCCGGACGAGATGGCAATTTCCTTCCCTCCATTGGAGGCTGCCCGCCGCAATGCTATAATCATTGGGTCCTGCAACGATTCAGCGTCATTAGCCTTGCTCCACTCGTCCAACTTCAAAGGGAAGGGCATTCAAACACGCATGTTTTGCCGTTTTCAAGCTCTCTAAAGTGGATTTTCGGGATCAGCGTATTGAATAACCCCAGGTAAGCAAAAATTTGACTAAGCTGCGATTTGCCGAGCCACTGCCTTGAAGCTCTCGCGAAATTCTCCTAAGATTGTAGTTCGCCGGAACTTCTTCATCCAAAGTTCTTGGAAAGTTTCCAAAAGACTGTAGTTCACGGAAACTTGTTTACTTGAAGTTCTCGAGAACTTCTTGCTTTATCTCTCGGAATCCCAGCTAATGACCACTTTTCATGCGGTTGCCGTAAAGAACAGCCTATATTTTCATTAAGGATAAAATGTTTGTTTCGCATTCAAAATAAATAAATTCATCAAATAACTGAGTATCGTTCATTCGTTGACCGTACGGACTGCCGACCGCGTGGCGACTGCGACGCGTGCCTTCTAAACTTGCGAAAAAGTGACAAGTTGGACCGTGGCTTAAGATGAGAAGAATTCTTTGTTTCTTTTCTACATCATAAAGATGAGAAGAATCCTCTGTTTTCTTTCCATTCATCTTTTCTACGAAAACATCATGCACGCGCAGAGGTCGCCGCGCGGTCAGCAGTCGTTACGGTCAACGAATAAACGATACATATGCACATGTTGAGTATCTGTTGACAAAACGAACGAAATTTTTTACGGCTGACTGCCTAACTTTTCATTCCAAGCGTCTGTGCACATTGTCTCCTTGTCGGTGCGTCCAAATCCGACAAGGAGACAATGTGACACCCATCGATTTCTGAAAGAATATATATATGAATAGAAATAGGAAAAAGCGGATTTTAACATACCTCGTGGAACAAGATGACCATCGTGGAGGCGATAATAACGCACATCCTCGCTAAAAAAATAGAAACAGCCTTTTACGATGGCGTTATGTAGAAGTGGTAGACATACAGCAATGCATGTTTTTGCGCTTACGCTCCATCTCGACTTTTTTTCCACCAGTGAATTGAAAGCTTTTTCACGTCCCAGCTCTTTCAGCTAACGACAGCCAAAAACTGAAAATAATTCCAGCACCTAAAATGGTTATTGTAGATATAAACAGCACCTGTTCTGTGAGTTCTTTAGCAAGTGCAGCCTCGATCCGTAGAGTTCGCTGTGATTCAAATCCAAGCATCCAAAATGAACTCTAAATGTTTTGTAGCTTAACCCCTTTCAGCTGTGAATTACCTTCACCTGTAAGGCATCAACAAAATCGGGTAGATTGATTAAATCCGTCCTTCCGACTTTTGAAACACGATACGCGTAGTTCCAGATATCAGAAGGGTCGTTTGCGCAGATCTAAGTGTAGGTTACGTGGTGGTCATTTTGTATCCAGAGTTAAATACGCACCTCTTGGTCATTTTGTATCCAGAGTTTAATACGCACCTCCTCTTTTAGTCTTGTCGATCATACGTGAGGAGTCATCGACAGTGACAGTGTAGTATGAAGTTTTGTGTATGGAGAAGTCAAGACTATCAATAGCTTGGAAGATAGGTGTGTGATGATTGGATTTCAGCTTTTTGCATCACTGATATCTCACTCTATTTGTATTATTCTGGTTTCATCTTTTCTCCCAAACATTTTGTTGGTTATCTAAGCTGCTGTGTTGTGTTGCTTCGCGCCTGTGCTTTATATAAGTTTTTTCTTTTTTCTCATAATGCACAAAATGCATGTGTGGAATATGTCGGCAGCTAAAGGCCCTAGTAAAGGTTTAAAATCGCCATTTTTGCTAAAGTGTTTAATTCACGCCCAGCGCACCACGAAAAGATCACCACCTACTAGGTAAAAATTGATATCTCTTTGAGAATGATGTAGCGAGCTTTGGAATAACTATGAGATAATTCATGCGTATCGTATAGCTTTGACTAGTTCACTAAGAGAGACAGACAGAGACATAAAGCGAATAGGAATCATCGGAAGCATAGGAATCCAAATTGGGATAAGAACTTCCATGGCAAAATTAGGGACGCTTGTTAAATTGAGTGAATAAAGATAGAGATAGAGATGGAGATAGATAGAGTTAAGAGGAGAGATAACAGGAATAAAGAAGAAGAAGGCAAAACATCCAAAAAAAGCGTCCCATAACTTTTGAAGAGGCAGAGCAAGAGAAGTGAAATATAACATCTGGGAACACAGAATAACCGAGTGCTTACCTTTTTCTCTCAGTTGTACCCAGCGAACAGCTTCTCCGATTGAAACTTGCCACTGCGCGTGTGAGCAGTCGTGCGCTGATCTTCTCGACTTGTTCGCACCTGGAAAAGGAAACTTTATCACAAATTACTGAAAAGAGGCATGAACTTACCTCCAAACGAGATCTAGGCTGCGGCGTTATGTAATTCGACATCCGCTTCCTCAAGCGCGCGCCCTCGAAGCGCGGTCCCGCGCCGATCGGCAGGCTAGCACGACATTTTCGGGCGCGAACGCGGCTTTATTAGCCGCAGAGCATATGAGGTGCGGGATCTACAACGGTGAGGATACGCGCGCGTCGCGTTCACGCCTGCTCAACTAATATCGCCATTGCGCCTTCGTCATGCAGCAGCCTTCATATATATGACTCATGTGATAGAAGCGATGGGAAGGTCTTGTTCGTAAGGGGGAGGAAGGCTGCACAAGTTTGTTGGTTTGATGAGCGTGAATGAGGTCAGCTTTTCAAAGATCGGTTGAATTTATGTAAAAATCCAATTCTAGATTGCCTCACGTAATCAAAATTTTTTTGAAATGCCATTTTGGAGACTCCATTCTGTACGAATTTTTTTACTTACGCCATAATAAGCTAATGAATTTCCTCCCGGGCCTTCTCCCCCTCCCCCCCCCCCTCACCCCCGCAAAAACCTATCCCCTAGGTTTCACCCTGAAATGATATCCAGCCTACTCTGTAAGCCTCCTGTGCTTGCAGTCTTTCATTAGCGCAAACTATTCATAGCTAATGCAAGCTATCGCTCCTGGTGTGAGAAAATGTGAGGCCTCTGTTTTTCTACTTGAGCAGTTCTTATCTTTAAGGGACGTTCTCTGAAAGAACGCACAATCGAAAGTTTAATTTCAACAGCTGCTAAGAAATATCACGTGTGGAATTTCTAGAACTGTCAATAAATAACTAAATAGGTTTCAAAAGAGACTCCTCTCTATGTCTAATTCGCATTCAAATGCAGCTGCAGGAGAAAATACGCACGAAGAAGCATGACGAATGGTGTGAACAAACATTTGCGATTTTTTTGTGATTATATTTCTGCCAGTGTATTCAAACTTCCTAACGGGCTGGACATACTTCACGCGATTTCAGTCGCGATGCGACTTGGCAATTCGCCAGAAGTCTTCAGATAACGCTAGCAAATTGCACATACATAGTGTGAATAACTTACGTAGATTGGCAAAATGCCCTATCTTCTGTACATATATAATAAAATGTGCCTACAGTGAGTTATGGACAGTTGGAATATTGCCAAATCGCGTCACGACTGAAATCGCGTGCAGTATGCCTGGCCCTTAAGGGATTGTATAGAATGTAAATGAGAGATAAACTGCCCACACCGCGAATTCCTTGAGAATTAGTGTTTCAAGAATTCATCGACGAAGTTCTTGGCTAATAGTCAAGACATTCACCAGTAACTTTTAGTTTCACAAGCAATTTACAAAGCAAGCACAAGCAGCAAGCAATTTATTCAATTTTTCAATCTCCGGCATTCGGCATCAGCGAATTTTGCATTGTCAAGCTTACGACGGTCGCTTTATCCGAGACAGCATACTTCTTGGAAGATTTTCACGGGACTCCGCAGGAGGTGACGCAGCAACTTTCTCTAAACGGCGTCCCCTTGACTTCATTTCTAACATTTTTATGATATGCCCTGTGTTCATGAGAAAAGAAATAGAAAAGTAGAACCGAGCAATAAAAAAACATTTGAGACCTTGAAAAGAAACAAAGATGTTTGTATACCTCGCTGTGGTGGCATGCTGTGTCCAGCGCGCACCACCGCGCGCTTGGAACAGCATTGTAGCCACCATAGGGTGGGCGGAGAGAAGAGCTGGGAGTCTGTCTGTACCACTCTTGTGACAATAGCGTGGGATGAGTACTCCCAAGTCCTGCTCCGAAAGAAACCCTGCAGAGTCGTCTTCTCAGGCCATGTTTATTTATTTATTTATTTATTTATTCGTGCATTCGATGATGTGCCCAACGAACGTATTAGTTTAACAAAGCTGTCTTCACTAAACAAACGACTAGACAATCAATAAGCGCTGGTTTTTCGAAAAATCAAACTGTAGCGAAAATGAAATTTATAGCCCCTCAATAGGTATACAGATGTAGATATAAACGAAGAAAGGACGAACGATGTTGTCATCCTTTCTAACAGTGCAAAGCTTGCGCCGATTGAGCGTCTCTGTGAAAAGTTATGAATTCCCTGAAAAAAGCCAAAATAAATCAAATTCGCCCTTTTGTATAGCTTGCTCGAAAATCATAACTTTTCATAGAGACGCTCAATCGGCGCAAACTTTGCACTGTTAAAAAGAGCTTGTGGAAGAGCCTACAATACTGACTGCTCCGATTTTTGTTGCAAGTTTCCGATTTTTTATGACACTACACGAAAAATTCAAATTTTGAGTGGTTTTGGTTTTGTGCTTCTATCTCCTTTATCTGTTCGATAGCGAACGGTTCAAGTACCCATGCAAAGAGCATGAGTTCTTTTCTTATGCAAAACTTATATCTTGCAGATTCTTTGAGAGTTCAACAAGTTAGGAATTTTTGAATTTGATGCGAAAGAACTTTTGCACCAACCTAATAGAAACCACACCTCTCCAATACCAATGGAATACCATACATATTCCAAAAAATGATGCTCTAAGATTAGCTCCACCGCTTACCATAATGTTCAATAGGTCTCTTTTGAGAGATAAAGGTCCTGAAATTTGGAAGCTGTTGCTTGTTACCCATCTACAAACAAAGACCTGAGAGAGCAGTAGACAACTACAGTCCAATTTGCCTTACTTGCTCAACATGTAAGGTTATGGAGAGAATACTTTGTGAAAGTGTTAACAAATTTTTTACCCAGAATGATTTGCTGCAAAAAGCACAGTATGGTTTTTATTCTAAAAGATCAACAATGTCTGCTATTATGTACCGCTTTGGCATAGGGAAGCGGACTGAGGCCGATAGATCTCTGTATGCTATGTCGATTATAGCAAGGCCTTCGATTCTATTAGGTTGTTACATAAGTCTTGTTACACTTTACTCCTTACAATGATAAGTCATGCTCCTCGTATTCTTTGCAAGGCTCCAGGATACCATTCGATAGAGCGAAGCAAGCTCTACAAGACATTGTGCAAATGTTCGCACCAACTTCGACCCACTATAAGTTGGCGCCCAAAATCTGAGTCGTACTGAAGGCTCAAAAAACGTGAAAAATTCATATCTTCGCTCAAAAAAATTCTTCAAATCTCCAACTTGCTCATAAAAATTGCACACTATATCAGACACTCATATGTACCGTTGCTGTATTTATTCCTCATCTAGAAATCGAGAAAACGAAAATTTTCTTATTTTCACTAAAACAAAGCTATGCTGTTTCTATTTATGTACCTGTATACTACAAGCCCTTAGAAGTATAATTGTAAATTTTCAGCTTTCTAGAAACCCTAGTTTTCGAAAATTACCTTATTAAGCATTGAACACCCGAGTGAAAAAAGCTAAATTCGGTATTTTTCGAAAACTAGTGCTTCTGGAAAGCTGAAAACCTACGGTTATACTTCTAAGGGCTTGTAGTATACAGGTACATAAATAGAAACAGCATAGCTTTGTTTTAGTGAAAACAAGAAAAGTTTCGTTTTCTCGATTTCTAGATGAGAAAAAAAATACAGCAACGGTACATATTAGTGTCTGATATAGTGTGCAATTTTTATGAGCAAGTTGGAGATTTGAAGAATTTTTTTGAGCGAAGATATGAATTTTTCACGTTTTTTGAGCCTTCAGTACGACTCAGATTTTGGGCGCCAACTTGTAGTGGGTCGAAGTTGGTGCGAACATTTGCACAGTGTTTTGTAGAGCTTGCTTCGCTCTATCGAATGGTATCCTGGAGCCTTGCAAAGAATATGAGGAGCATGACTTATCATTGTAAGACGTAAAGTGTAACAAGACTTATGTAACAACCTAATATTTCAATACCCTTACTTTCAAATAAGCTCCAAGCCTATGATATACAGGGCCGATTGCTTAGCTTTGAAACCCTTTGCTCAATGGTAGACGCCAATCGGACATCATTCAACAATGTTTGTTCACGAGTTCATAGCATTATCAGCGGTGTGCCTCAAGGATCAGTCTTTTTTCTCTTGTTTCTCATATACATAAGCCTTCCCAGCGTTGTTCTAGCAGTTCTTCTGTTCTATTTATGCATGTGCAAAATTTACACCATCAATGATGCCCCTTTTCTACAAGAGGCCATAGACGCTTTCGCTTCATGATCGTCTACCTGGCAGCTAAAGGTTTCCAAAGAAACATGTGTCATGACTCTTAAGAAAAGCTACCCTACATTTAAGTTCATGTTAGATGGCTCTATCTTACACCGTACCCATTCGGTTCGAGGTTTGGGTGTGGCATACACTGACAATTTCGACTTCCGTGGCTACATCTCCGAAATTTTTTCAAAAGCCAAATGCCGATCAAACTATGCTCAAAACAGCAGTCGTAATCCCATACTTCTGTTTAAATTGTTTATTGCATATGGGACCCTTGCTTTAACATTGCTCACCATTTTGTTCTCCTCAAAGGGGAGCCTAGAATGAAGACCTAGAGAAAGTCCGGAGGTCATTTACCCATAGAATCTTTGCTAGAAGAGACATTTTGAAGTGTCATATCTAGGCAGAATCGAAAAATTGCAGATACTAACTCTAGAGTAGATTCTGGCCGACTTTGCTTACAACTATATGCTTACTACAAGCAAGCTTGATCTCAAGCTGTTTGCTTTTGAGGAACCACAGCGAACAAACATGACAAGACGACATCAATTCAAGGTTGAAGTTGATAAAGCCGATTGAAGTTGATAAAGCCGATATTACTTCCTGTAAGCGAAGCCCCATTTGTTGCTTGCAGATGCCTTGAACGCTTCTGATCGCAAGCTGTTCAAGTGCTCCCCTTCTACCTCGTTTTGTTCACATTTGCTTGATCACCTGCAAGAACGTGGTATGTTAGTCTCCACTTGATCATCCTTGCTTTGTTGTTTCTTTTATAAATGTTCTTTTATTTTTCTTCTTGATAAGTTCAGCCCACCCTGCTGTTACTGTGTCTTTTGTCTTTCGCCTTTCTATTTGGCTGAGTAAACATGAAACATTATGTGATAAAAAAATTCTATTGAACATTAGATCATGTATTTGTGTGGTATGTGCAATGCAGGAAAGAGTTATCTACATAGTAAGTAAAAGTGGTTTAAACATAAAATGAAGAATTACGATTCCAAGAATGTATACGTCTCTGATGAACAGCCAAAACGGACGTCGAGAAAGAAGTAAGAACGAGAGGAATAGCATTTCATCGAACTTGATAATATATTCATATGTGGAAGTTCAGCAGCTGAACCATGATTTATTTTCTTCGAACCTCGCAATTTCTCCTGCGAGAGCAAAACTGAATCTGGCAAACGCAAAATACTTTGTTATGACAGCTGAAGTTCTTCGACAGAATTCGTACAATCAACCAAACATTTGAGAAGCTGGACTCACGTAGAGCAGCAGAATGGTTAATCACCTCGTAAGCTGTATTAATTCGCTTATTGATTCGTTAATGCTACTCATTGCTTTCTACATAGTTTCTTCTTTGTTCTTAGTAACTACGAGAAATTTTAAGCGTACAGTTTAGTTCATAATCTAATGCTCGAAGATGTTGGCAATTCGCTTGAATATTTAAGTGCAAGTTTATGGAAGACATTTTCATTTCATTCCTAGCCATGCCTTGTTTAGATTTTCCTTAGCACCCCTCCCCACCAAAAATGATACGAATACTCCTCTGTGTAAGCTGTGTTTGGGTAAGTGCAAAATTGGGTTGCAAGGATATGGAAGGGAATGACGTTGACTGGTTAGTGAGTAACCACTCAGAAAAAAGTCAACCAATTTTCTCTGAATTTTTACTTCGAATAAGAGCTCATTTTCAGGTTTGCCGCTATTAAGCTACCGTCAGATGTCGACACAGATAAAGGCCGAAGGTTCATTTACTTTGATCCATGGATAGGCGAATGGACGCAGAGTGAATTACTCATTAGCAGTAATAAATCGGCAATTGGAGCCACACTCAGTCAACTTTATAATATCAACAAGGTTTTTTCTCATTTTATAGGGAAAATTTGATTACGTGGACCTTTTTTTTGAATAATGATTGGGTTTTAAGAAAACATCCAAATCTATGCCGGAGCAGGAGTCGTGCTAATGCTGTGCCGAAAGGCGCACGGATCTGACACGCATTGGGGGCGGTGCTGGCGCAGCGCTAGCACGAGCACTCTGCACACAGTCTTGCGAAGCCACTACCCAGAAAACAGCTAGTGTGATTGATTCGTGGTCAAGGAATTCAGTTGTGGAATCCCGCCCAGTATCGCATCCGTTGGTAGGCTCATTCGGAATACGGTCTGGACCACAATTTATCCTCGACTTTTTCCGCCGCGAGTGAATCACATGATACAAATTACTTGAGACTTTACATACAGTGCTTGACATAATTATAAAGACACTCTAAAAATCACTTTAATTTACGTTCTTCTTGATGAACTCATTTAAAATGCTGTGTAGTGTGCATGTAAGCTTACCATAACTCCTTAAAACGGCTTCCAATCGTTTTGATTCTGAACGGAGAAAACGGAAAAATTCGAAAAAGCCCGTTTTAAAAGCTGGACAAAATTATAAAGATGACTGGTCTTACCAAGCATTATCTCATTTTTTGACTCTCAAGTTTTTTTTGTAGGGTTGCATCCCAGAATATGGACTTCTGCAGCACCTACGACCTGTCATCCTACTCATAGGAAAATGAACATCGCATTTGTTGTTTTCAAAGGGAACGGCCATAGGTTGTCGGTGTTGTTGATGTTATGGGTGTTGTCGGGGTCAGAGACAGTTTAAAGAGCGCGCCAAACGTGGAGGCTATCATGAGGTCCTACAACGACCGGCAACCTCGGCAAGCCCACAACACCGACAACATCGACAACACCGACAACCTATGGCCGTTCCCAAAGGCATCAAAAGTCAAGCTGCTTCAGCAAACAGCTGCTTTGAGGAGTTATCAAGCTCTTATTCATTCCAATTAAAAATCCTGGAATTCACTGAGCCTTTTCGATAGATAAGGTGGAGAGTAATTGTAAAAACTCTGCGTAATCGTTAATATTGACGGACACACTCGAACCCCACCATAAGATTATCACGCTTTTACACCGCAAAACTCACTTTTCAATGTTTTTGAAGTGATGGATTCAATTTAATACATTGCCTGCCATTTGATTCAACTGGCTTGGCATCGGCAAAGGCGGGGCTTCGTGACCTAATTAAGGCTAGGTAATGATCAGAGAGCACTCGCGCGAGAGAGACGCAGGTGCGTGGGCGCGGGCGCGAGCGGCCTCAGTTAGATCACAAAACCCCGCCCTAATGATGCTATGCCAGTTGAATCAAAGGTTACATGGTGTGCAGCTTTCCCAACAACTTTTAAGTTTTCCCTAGTGATGCAGTCGCAATTCAGAGCTAAAATACTTCCCACGAAGATTCTCTGCAAGCAGTAGATTCCACAAAGTTATAAATCTCACTATTTTTCTCTCTGTTTCATTCTACGCGATAGCTGAGATTAGCTAAGATTTTGAAGTTTTGAGCGGTCTCCTGTTCAATCTCGTGAATTGAGTTTGATATGATTGTACAGGGTGCTCCACTCAACTTTCAGAGGATGACAATTGCGACTGGAGCAGAATGTTCGACCCCGAAATATTTCCTGACTAGGCACACAAGTTTATTGTTGTTTAGGGCAGTGGCATTGCAGCATTTTCTCTAACTTGAAAATGAGTTTTGTGATGCAAAAGCGCGGCAACCCTTCAGTGAGGTTGAACTTTCCGCCAATATCAGCAATTAAGCAGAGTATATGAAAGCGCTCTTCACCTTACCTCTCGGAAAGTCTTAGTGAATTCCAAGATTGTCATTTGAAATGAACAAGAGCTTGAGAACTTCTTAAGGCCTAGGGGATTCTTTACGCGATTCCAGTCGCTGCGCGATCTGGCACTGCAGCGACTCTTCGTAACTGGTTGTTAGCGGGCTTTGCATGGACCAGACCCAAACCTTTTGCTATAACTTACAGTTGCTACGCGCCTATGGCCTAAGGCATACCTCCAGCGATTCCGCAAAATAGCTATATTCACGACCTGGCGATTTGCCAGATTTTTACAGAAACTACGTTCGGGGCAGGTCAAGCGTGATGCGACTGTCGCAACGGGGGGTCGTAAAGAGGGTGCCTAAGGTGGGGGCGGGGGTCGTAGGAGAAAGTAGTTAGGCTAAAATACCCTAAGCTTAAAAGGGAATCAAAAAGCAGATAATTAGTTATGTTCTTCACAATAAATCTATAAAAAGTGGAAATAGGATAAAAAAGGTAAAAAATCTGTAGATTTCGCAAAAAAAGCATTTACAAGAGCTCAAAACACTTTTGAAGATGTATAATTTGATAGAAATGCTAAATGTACCGATTGTCCTAGAAATCTTGCTTCTGAAGTCTTCCTGAAGTCTCACACACTCGACAAAAGCTAATATCTTTACCAGCTGTGACCATCATAAATTTCTAAATCTTTTTGTGATGTTTTTCAAGGGCCCATATGATTTATCTATACTTCGGAGATGTACCGCTACATCAGTGCAAAATTTGGTGTTATTTTGTCAACTGTGGATTTTCTTATAATTTTATGTATGGTAGCAAAAAATCAGGAAAGGGGGGTCGTATCTGGGTCGCATCTAAATTTCTTCGGAGCTATTGAAGATTGTTGGCTGCAATTCTGCTGTAAAATGAGGCCATCCTTCTACTTTCCCTCATAAAAATTGCAGGCTGTTTTATGACTTCTCTGGTAAGTTACAAAATTTTAAGCTCAAAAATCCCAGTTTTTGCTTTTTAGGATCGCATCTAAATTTGCGAGAGTCGCATCTAAATTTTTTCGAGCTTACTGCTCCTCAAAAGCTGAAACTTTTTCTATGGATAGTCTGGGCACTGTGCTACAGAACCTGTGCTTTGCAGCCTCTCAGTCTTTTCCTGACCTTAGTTACGAATCTTCAAACTACCGTGCTCATGCACGTTTTTGACGTCGTTCTGGACGGCGCTCAAGCGGTTTTTTTCGCGGGAAAAACTGTGGAAGAGGTAGGAAGTAAGCTTCTTATTCGAAAACATCTTTTGCAGTTTAAGAATGTCATTTTTTCTCCGTGCAAAAATTTGTGTCGCCTACGGGAATCGAATTTGCTGGTCTGAAGTATGCCTGAAAATTCAAGAAAAAACTTGCAGATTCTCAAACATTATTGAAGGTGTTTATGTGTGCTATAGATGCTGGACGCACCCATTGGCCTAGAAATTCTGCTTGAGAAACCTCACTGAAGTTCTCACGCAGGTGTCTTTTGAGATCGACATTCGTTTATGCAGGTTACCGCGAGGAATGTGGGCAGGAGAGGTAAGGGGGATAAATGGGGGAGGGTGGGGTGGGGTAGGGGAGGGGAGGGGGGCCGTACGGATGGGTATTTTCAAGGGGGGTTCGTAAACGAGAGTCCGGGACCGCATCAACACGCTTGACCCTGGTTCGGGGTCTCACAAGGGGAGGATACTTAGTCGAAAGCACCAATCCAGATTAGACATACACCATTTTAAAGCGCTTGAAACGCTGATTCCAAATCTGTAGCTTTCATCAGCGGAGCTATTTGGTAGAGAGAGTTATGAGGGCTGTATTCTTCTGGGGTTGGGGCGCCCTCCAGCAGATTTCCCCCTATCTGTGAGCACTGTAGAGGATTATGAACTGGTGCAACTGGCTCAGTGGCAAGTAACTTGCTCGATAAGGAGAGTGTTAAGGTTTAAGTCCCCCTCGCATGCAACTTTATCGCGATTTTTGCAAAATTGAGCTTCTAGATGGCTTTAGAGCCCTAAAGCCTGAAGTTAGATGTGTTAAAAGTAATACGACTATTATAATCCTTATTGTAATCCTCATTCAAACTACTTACCACTGAGCCAGTTGCACCAGTTCATAATCCTCTACAGTGCTCACAGATAGGGGGAAATCTGCTGGAGGGCGCCCCAACCCCAGAAGAAAACAGCCCTCATAACTCCCTCCGCTGCTAAAAACTACAGACTTGGAATCAGCGTTTCAAGCGCTTTAAGATGATGTATGTCTCATGATTGGTGCTTTTGACTAAGTATCTTCTCCTTGTCAGATGCACGGGCATTTAGATTACATAGGTTGTAGTAAACACAGCAAGTCTGGCCCAAGCAAAGTGCGTTTATGACCAGTTATGAAGAGTCGTTGCAGTGCCAGATGCGCAGCGATTGAAATCGCTTAAGGTATGCCTTAGGCCTATGCACTTAGGACCCAAACACGATTGATCTGTAAGTATCTGGCGAACTGCCAAGCCGCGCGAATGTAGCGATTTCGCGAAATCGCCACATCCTCGCGACTTGACGATTTGCCATACGTCTAGAGATTAAGCATGCGAGGCTCTCAAATGCATGAGTGCGTAGATTCCGTTTTTTAACACGTTTCGGACCGCGAAATCGCGCGCGGCGAAAAAGAGGGTACTTTCAGCCGTTAGCCAACAAAGGGACCTTAATTCGTAGATTGTGTGCTACATCTGTTATCAGCATGTCAGATAAGATCCATACCCAGAGTTCTGAGTGAATTCGAAGCGTTTGAATTTTGTCGTCTGAGAAGGAGTTTTGTGCTTTCTTGAAAGATAGGAACAAAAACTCAGTTTCTAATTGTATCCAAAAGTATCTATGTTGTACACGATACACATCATTATTGAAACTACGGTTTTTCTCTTTGATATCGAAGCAAAGAAAAGTTGCGACGTCGCACGCGTCGTTCGCCTTGCCGCACTTCGTTGCAACTGATGTTCGATTTGTCCTTATATCTCCCGAACAAATATCGATGACACAGCTCCATAGACCCTTTCGAGAAGTAGGGGCTTAGGCCTTTGACTTGATAACCTTGAACAAAAAGAAGACCTCCTGCAAACGTTGAAAAGATCACCGGTCCGAAACGTGTTAACAAACACAGCAAGTCTGGCCCGAGCAAAGTGCGTTTACGACCAGCTATGGAGAGTCGTTGCAGTGCCAAATCGCGCGGCGACTAAAATCGCGTGAGGTATGCCTTAGGCCTTAGGCTTAACACGTTGACGACATGTCGCGCAATGCTGTGTGACAGGCAGTCTGTCCCTGTGGAGATGTCGCGCAATGGTGCGTGGCACCCTAAATATCAGTTTTAGTGTGCACAATGGTTCGATCTGTGTTCACATAATCAATTTAGGCTTTTTTCATGTTGCCCCCCCCCCCTACTGGCAAACTCCACCCACTCTGTTGCCCTTTACAAAAACTCTTTCCCTTCTCAAATTGCATAGAAAAGCTCGTGGGCGACTGGGGAATCTCAAAATAACCTCAGTTTTAACCCCTTCTCCCGTTATACAGGCTCCGCCCCCTCAGGTGCAAGCCCGCCCACTTTTCAAAGTGTCGGATTCGTGAATTTTGTGCAATTTCCGGCATTTTTGAGGGGTGGGCGAGGGCGGAGCTGTCCCGCCCATTTGAATTTTTATATCTTGCGCATAGATGCATGCATACATACATGGAGCCAGCTGTGAAAATGCTCGGTAACGGTTCGTCCTCAGGGACAGACGTCAAAAAAAAACAGCTCGTCGTCAACGTGTTGAAGCAGCTGTTTTTGAAGTAGTTTGACTTTTGGTGCATTAGAAAACAAAAAATGCAATGATCATTCTTCTTTGAGTAGGACGACAGATTGTGGGTGTTTCATATTTTGGGATGTAACTTTACAAAAAAATTTGATAGTCAAAGAATGCGATAATGCTCAGAAAGATCAGTTGTTTTTATAATTACCCAGCTTTCAAAACGCGCTTTTTCGAAGTTTCCAATTTTCTCCGTTCGAAATCAATGGGATTGAAAGCCGTTTCGAGGAGTTATGGTAAGCTTACACGCGCACTACACAGCAAAGTTTCAAACGAGTTCATTAAGAAGAACGTAATTACGGTGATTTCTAGAGTGTCTTTATAATATGTTCAGCACTATATTTGTCTGAGTATAGATTCACACAAACTCCTATGATTAGAGCTATAGATGACTTAATCGCTCTTTAGGAAAGGACATTTGCCATCGCATACAATGACGACAGGCCCAGTGGACCGGTGGTGAGTGGTCTAGCTCACAGTAAAGGTGTGGCCGTGTTTGACCATTTTGTTGGATTCTGGATGGTACACAGTGTGCCAAATTTCCCACCTTCTAGGGGTGAGTTGACTTTTCGATGGACTTTTCATACGATTGCTCCCACATCATCCTGCCTTTTTAACGGTCCAATACTGGATCAGGTTTGGGCTGGCTGGCTCCACTCCAGAAAAATCATCTAAAACAGTTTTTGCGTTTCGTGATCTAGGGAGGGGAGGATTTACTTCATATTTAAAATTTTCATAAAAGTGATCTGTAACGTTAATAACTTCCAAGCTCAAGTAGATTATAGCTCGAGAAACTATGGAAGCAGCATGGATTTTTGTCAGAAACCCAAGTATGATTAACAAAAATGAAGGCTTATCAACGACCGAGCTCCTGCCATTCTTGTCGATATGAGATACACCCTGCACATACAGGGTGTCCCAAAAAATGTGCCTACTGTTTGATTGTAAATAACTCTCTTATAATGAAAGAAGCTTTGGGTACCGTTTTGAGAGCGAGGTTAAACTTAGATTTGCTGTGTAAAGCAAATCATCGATCGCTCTTCATTACTGTATAATTACGGTACGAACTTCGACAAGGATTTTAGGCCGCTGGAGGCTATAGTCTGCCTCGGAACAAGACCAAACAAGCCAAAAACCCTTATACTACGGTAATGGGAGCCGCTGTTTCCGAATTTGATATTCCCATTTTACTGTGGTGCTTCTTTCCAAAGTTATCCCCTGTAATTCGTTATCAGTCAATTTCCAGCATTTGTCACAAATGTAATTACACCGTCAAAAAAGCTGAAAACACTTGTAAAAAGTTGTTAGCTGGAATTAGCATGCGCGAAAACCTTAGTACACAATTTTTCAGAGTTTTTGGAAAAAATTTCATTGGGTGGTATATTTCACAATGGTTCCATATGCTGGAAGTTCTTACCTTAATCCTACAGTAATGAAGAGCGATCGATGATTCGTTCCGTACAGTAAATCTAAGTTTAACCTCGCTCTACAAAATGGTACCTAAAGCTTTTCGAAAGACTTCGTTACAACAGAGTTATTAACAATCAAACAGTAGGCACATTTTTTTGGGACACCCTGTATATAAAGACCATTTCGCTGAGCAACGCTCAATGTCGCTTGTCTACTTTGTGCGGCTGCTGACTAACTCACTAACACCGCGGTGAAACATAGGTTGGTTTGTACTACATCAGCGTGTGGCTCAGCACGTTGCCCTCAGGACGAAATCCAAACTGACTGACGTTTGGGGATGGCGTTTGGCGGTCTTATCTCGCAGATGAATAACTGCAATCTACTTCAGACCTCCGAAGACGACGACTCTGTCGAAACGTAGGGTTAATAAATGGTAACACCGTACTAACCTGGATCTGGCACAAAATAACATAGACAAGACCTGAAACGTTTTTTTTTTGAAATGACACTTTTTCCACTAAAATATGGTTATGTTACCTTAAATCATTCTTTTGCTGTGAAATTTCCTTCTGAATCTCACGCATCTCATAATTCAAAAAACTACTCTCGCCTTTACTTCAGCTTCAAACAACAGAAAAAGCAGCCTAACTGATGGCGAAATTTTTAGAAAAAACTAATTTCTTGCTAAGTTTCGCTAAAAATGCTAGAAACTCTCCTTACAGAATTTATGAAACTTAGAAATGAATTGAAGGCTGCTGGAATTAAGTGCTGAATAAGTTGTTGCGTGTTCAAGATAGGTGGAAGAGAGAATAGAGAAGAGGGACAAAAGTTTTCCATCAATAACTTTCCGAGAAAAATCGCTTTCCTCTTCTTTTACTCTTGGTTCATCTTTGCATCCTCAGAATCCGTTTATCTTCCACATTTTGATCTCTTTATCTGCGAAAAATACGGAGAATGGCTCAATCAGGTAGGTAACGCTAACTCCTGCGGTTGCAATTAGGAGCGACACAACGCAAAGGGCTCTCAGGACATACCGCAAGCTAATGCGGCTAGCTTTGCTCCATAACGCCACACCCCCAGATAACGGGCAGTCTTCGCACAAAAAATCCCCTTTCCTCCCTCTTCCTGCGTAGAGGAGAATCGCCTCACTAAGTAGGTCGAGAAGTGCGAAATGGGTGTGGGGTAGGTGCGAAGACTAAGTGCGAAGTCCCCGATCATTTGAAAAGTCCACCTCCCACCTTCTGGTGGTGCGCTTCGAATAGCTGATTTTGAGGATAAAAGGACTATTTTGATTCCAAAGCTTTTAGTATGCTTCGTAGTAGTATATGGATGGTAAAAGATGAAGAAGCTAAAATCGTATATAGCTGTAAATTGATCTAAACAGCCAGCGAAGGTGGAACGCTTTTTTACTCCGCACAGCCATTCTATAAAAAAACCACTTTAAACTGTAACTTCCTTTATATTTTTAGCTTCTTAGACGACAGGACAGGTATCTAACTCTTGGAAAAGAGAGTGCTCAAGCAAGTCTCGGTGTTTGACTTCTTTTAATGTGGGAACTGATGGGGTCTCAATCAAGCCACTTACCAAGTTGTAGCATATGATTTACTCCAATTTAAGAATTAACCGTAAAACCTGGCCCAGACCGCAGTGCCGCAGGGGTTTAGGACGCTATTTGGTTTGTTAGAACTTAGTACGGTATAGGCAAGAGTTTGAAGTCGAATGATGACTAAGCACGAAGGAATTCTATCAACTACAGCTGGGACAAGAGCTTAGCGTAAACTGTAAATTTGTTTTTACCTGAAAAATCCTGAGTGCTCTTTGCCGGCATTATTGTTTACCTGAGTTGTTAGTGCTGGCTCCTATTCAAAAATGCCGGGATGCTTAACAAGAAAAAGATGTTTCATTACTTGCATATCTTTTAGGCAAATATTCCTATCCTGGATCTGGTGCTGTTTATGGCCAATCGTTCCTTTGCATGTCCATCAGCTCGAATAGTTTAGAAGATGTTGGCCAATACATGCGATATGCTCATGTGAACCCATATCTAACCAATCTGCCAAAATACCACAAAATATTGTCAGTAATTTCCTCTTCATGTTTTTATCTCTATGACCTATTTTGATAGGGCTCCATCGCTTGTCGACGTTGTTAATAAGAAATCACTCTCTAAGTCTGCAACTATTTTCTCAACAATCCGTAGAATAGAAACTCTAGGTGGAAAGAAGTTGATCGCGTTTTCCAAGCATAAAAAGTATGGAAAAGGTAAGCTTAGTTCGTACAGGAACTGGAGCACACTTCCAGCTGATTTATTCAGATCTTTGGTACGACTTAATTGCTCTGAATCTCAATTCGCAAATGGCAGTGGAAACATGGAGAAAGGGAAGTACGCAAAATATCGGATCGACTTGTAATGAGAGTGATCCGTCGAGAAATGTGAGTCAATAGGATGAATGAAATGACAGTTTTTTTATGATGTTTGTGCAGAGGCAATGACATCACAACAATGCATTTTGTATATATCTCTGATATGAACAAAACATTTATGAGTTTATAAAATTGAAATTACACGTAAAGAAGCTTTAAAAAGCAAGATAAATGTGCATAAGCTCCTCGAAAGAAAATGAAGAGTTCATTATTGCCGCATAGTCAATTGTGTTGAAAACACCTTCCACTCAAAGTAAGGTTGATGTGATTTTGGTGTTATATTAGGTTGGCACATAAGTAATGCAACTTTTCATATAACTTTTGTCTATTTGAACGTAGCGCATTCATTTATTGGCAATATAAGGAATATGATATAAGCTTCCAATACACACATTTTTGCCGAATTTCACCGCCTAATGTGAGGATTACGGTAGGTTTACGGTACTGTGGGAAAAATTTTAGAATGCATCAAATTTTGCTGAAACTTGGCCTATAGGGCTTATTCGACATGCTGATCACAAAAATGAGATCCGTTTCGCATGAAAAGGCCTCGTTCGTGAGATCAAAAGATGAATTTCATTTTAGCAACAAATGAATATGGTATTCATGTTTACCGCATAGAGGGTTACCCTATAGTGCAAAGTTATAGCGGATTCTGACTTTTCGCAGCTTAGTCATTGACAAATTGCCTTCAAAACTTGACGCATTTGACTTGTTCAAATTCTCAAAGGCCCCCACCTTAATTTGTGTTTAGATTTCATTTCTTTTTCACTGATTCCAATGTGCCAACTTCCACCTACATGCTGCCTATAATTGCTTTTTCATATGTTTGAATCAGGCTTCGTAGGGCTTCATGTTTGCCAAAAAATCGTGAAATCCCGATTTTCAGCAGTTTTCAAAAAATGCTTAGATTTTTTGTACTACGTTATCAAAAATCAAACAGTTTGCGCAGACTTGCAGCTTACATCACGATCTACATGATGCCACAAAACGAGGTTGCTACATAAAATAGGAAAAAAGTTACGGGAAAAGTTGCAAACTTATGTGCCAACCTAATAAATAGAGAGCCTCCAAGTGCAGAAGTCTCGCTGCAAAAGATAGATTCCAAACTGAGAAAACTCACCAGAAGGTAGAAAGTCCAAGTGGCTCCGCCCATCAAAGTTGGTGGTCTAAAGATAAAAGTCCAAAATTGAGCTTTAATGTATCCAGAATTGCGCCTTGTATTATGATACTCAGATTTCCGACATTGCCATACACCTGAAGCCCAAGTTTGGACTTGTTATCTTCAGGCCACTCTCGTGGATGAGCGGAACCACCTGGGCCGCTTTCACCTTTTGAAGCGGTTTTTTCACTTTAGAATTTATCTTTTGCAGCGGTATCGGGCGATTGCTTACGAAAATGGTCAGAACTTAACCCAGTCATCCCAAACAAGCTGTACGTCATCGATTTCCTTAAAACGGTGATTTCAAATATATGTTTTTTATCTGCCAGGCGACTATCTCGGAGGAGTTATGAGCGTTCAAATATGAAAAATGTTTAGAGTTTCAACAAATATATATCTTCTAAAGGCAGCCTGATGGCGCAGATTTACACTGGCTATAGTTATTTCATTTACAAGGAAGAGGCACGTTTATTAAAAACCTGGATAAGTATTTTTGAAACCTTTTCGTGGAATATTCGCTGCAGAGTTGACAAATCGCACATTTAAACGCTAATAACTCCTCAAAGATTGTCGCTTGGCAGTTAATAGACATATATTTGTGGTCAACGTTTCAAGACGAGTCCGAGATGTACAGCATGTTTGGTATGGCTGGGTTAAGTTCTGACCAATCCCTGCTTAGTTAGTTACCCTGCTATTGAACAGCATCAAAACCTCATCAACCTCAGTTTGGGTGGACGGTGCTTGTACATGATCCATAAAAGCAAGACTAGACAATTTGTCGATATATGGAAAGATCGGCTTTTACCATTGGATAAAAAAACCTTTAGGTTTACGATGTCAATACAGTGAAATTACTCGGCAAAAGGTTTAAATATTGGAAAGATCATTCAAAGTGGGGCGTATCAATGAATGCATATGTACCTGCAGTCTGCATCGGAGACATAAATCGCCAAGTAAGAGAGCCTTTACATTTAAGCTTTCAAAAACAAAACTGCTTTACTTTCAGAAATCTCAATATAAACGCGGCGGTGGAGCTGTTTGTATGGAAGATGTAAAGTTATGGGAAGCTTTTATCCAATCAGTCAAATGTTATGATCTGTGCAAAACTATGTGAAAATTTGTCATATGTCCTTTTTCTTGAATCCTAGGGGGGAGGGGGCATGGCGTGGTAACTGATTTCAATACTTTTCTTCTGCCGTACAGATTGTTAGATGACACTTTATTGTCTAACGTTTTGGCACAACACCGTCGTCATAGGCTTGAAAGGTGTCAGTCACTTCTATTCACGACTTTAGCCGCCAAACATCTCCTCCCACTCGACCATGGAAATGGTCTTCAGTGGAAGCAGAAAGCCTGCGAGTAGAGTTTGACTCACCAGAATGTGCACCGTAATTTGTAGCAGTCAGCTGCTTCAGATGTGTTTAAACCGACTGCGGTGTTAGAATAGACAGTCACAACTGACCGCGATGTTAAGAAAAAGCAGTCGCGATGCCAACGAACTGCTTAAATAGTCAAATGATTTTATAGTTTGCAATATGTCAGATACGACCTTGGATCTCCAGTTATAGATAATTGTTCATTCTTGTTGTTGATCTTGAGGTCACGGACAAGAATGTCGGATGCCTCGAGGGCCTTTCTAGCGGAGATACACTTTTGTAGGCCAAAATTATGCACTTGACGTCGAGATCGGTACCGCTATGATCAGGGTCGAGCAAAAGTGTGGCACACAAGCGCTGAATACGACCCCCTCACCACCAATCTTTTGCCTCAGTACCCCCCCCCCCCTCCATCTTCTCTTCCGCAGGCATGACATAAAGGCTCTACCATGCATAATTCGGCATATTTTCGTAAGATTTTCGTAATTATTATGTCAAACTAGTTGGTGTACCCGGCTCAGCTCGGTCCTCTCAAAACCCTACGATAAAACTCGCATCCTTATCCCATGTACAACCTTTCCCTGTGCCCTCGTCTACGTGCCATATTCCCGCTGTTCCAGTAATCAGAAAGCCCACTTACCCCACTATGCCAAATACCAGCCCCGTAGGCCTAACTTTGCAAAAAATTAATTCGGTAAAAGTAACAGATAATTTTGAAAACTAGTATTGTATTTGTAATCAGCAGGCTCGATTACCCCCCCCCCCCCCATGCCAGCTCCCAGACCCGTTACTCAAACTTTGCAAAAAAAAATCGAAAAAAACGATAAAACTTATGGATAATTCTAAAAACTAATATTTTATTTCACAACCAACATGCTCGATTACCCCCTGTGCCAACTCCCAGCCCGTAGCTCAAACTTTGCGAAAAATCGATAAAATCGATTAAAGTAATAAGTGATTGTAAAACTAATAATGTATTCGTAATCAGCATGCTCGATTACCCCCTGTGCCAACTCCCAGCCCGTAGCTCAAACTTTGCGAAAAATCGATAAAATCGATTAAAGTAATAAGTGATTGTAAAACTAATAATGTATTCGTAATCAGCATGCTCGATTACCCCCTTGTGCCAATTCCCAGCCCCGTAGCTCAAACTTTGCAAAATGATAAAATCGATATCGATCGATGACGAAATTAGCCTGTGACACTCGCCCGGCCCCGAAGTATATGCGTGCAAAGTTGGACTCGGATCGGTTCAAAAATAAAAATTTTTCGGAACAGCAACAACAACAACAACAACACACACATCACTTCCCTTTCCAGGTAGTAGTCACCTCAAAGTGATGTAAGCGATAGCAATCGGTCAGTTTCTTCAATTTTTGCGAATGCAAATCCAGGATGAGGACGCCAAAGATAGACAGTGTGTGCAGGTACACACATGACCATATGAAATGATTCGGATGTACCATTTGACTCAACTGGCTTGGCATCGGCAAAGGCGGGGCTTCGTGATCTAATTAAGGCTAGGTAATGAAGGAGAGCACTCGCGCGAGAGAGACGCAGGTGCGTCGCGGGCGCGAGCGGCCTCATTTATATCACAAAACCCCTCTTTAATGGTACCAAGCCAGTTGAATCAAAGGTTAATCGCTGACACCGCAGACTCTTTGAAAATTAGTTATTTTAGAACTCATCGACGAAGTTCTAGGCTAATAAGAGATTCACAAGTAGTAGTTTAACAAGCAATTCATATCTTTCAGTCCCTAACAGTATGCCTCAGGAAATGTCGCATTGTCAAGGTTACGACGGTCGCATTGTTCGAAATAGCATTCTTCTTGAAAAATTTACAGGACTTTGCACGAAGTGACTGCAGCAGTTTTCTAAAAACGGCGTCCCCTTGCTTTGCAATCTTATTGTAAAGAGATAGAAAAGTAGAACCGAGCAATAAAAACATTTGGAACCTTGAATAGAAACAAAGATGTTCGTATAGCTCGCTTTGGCGGTATGCTGTGTTCAGCGCGCCCACCGTGCGCTTGGAGCAGCAATGAAGCATACAAAGACCTCGGGGACTGTAATTGAGCGGAGAAGAGGGAGTTTGAGTAGCTTCGATTAGTCTGTAGGGTTTGGGATGTAGGTTAGGGCAGAGATGCGATGGGGGGAGCCAGCCCAACAAAGGTGAAGGTGGTCCCAGCCTATTGACCGGCCAAAAGTGAAGGTGGTAGTGCCGGACACTCACCTCCCGAAACGTCGACCGAGGGGGGGGGGGGGGTGGGGAGCATTAAAGGCAGTGGCTCGGCAAATCTCGACCTAGTCATTTTCGCTTACCTGAGGTTATTCAATATGCTGATCCCGAAAATCCACTTCTGCGAGCTTAGAAACGGCGAAAACGAGCGTTTTTTAATGCCCTTCCCTTCGGAGTTGGAAGAGCAAGGCTGATGGTGCTGGGTCGTTGCGGGACCCAATGGTTATGGCATTGCGGCGGGCAGCCTCCGATGATGAGGAGGAAATTTCCAACTCGTCCAGGAGAGTGCAAGATTGGCCTGCGCGTGTAAGTTTGAGAGCCTTTTTCTCGGCAAGGAAGGCATGCTGTGCAACCAGGATTGCATTGTTTTCATATTTGGGCGATAAGGAACCTATCGCCTTAAATTCCTGACTTGTTGAGTTTTGTCGATCCATTGCCTTTAACGTCTATCCTTCCAAGTCGTTGCCGCCAGTGCGCGGAAAATAAGCAAAACTGAGTTGTTGAGTTTTGCCGATCCACTGCCTTCAAAGGCAGTGTCCGGGCAAGATGGGGGTTTTGAGATTTCTCTGCCATGTGAAAGTGGCCCCCCTGAGACACAACGTCGCGCAACTGCGAGCATAAAACGTTCGACCTAAAACAAGAAAAACAATTGCAAAGTGGGGAAACTTACGCCTTGGGGCGGGGTCCTCCGAGCTGTTTGAATTCGTGCCAGACGGCAGAGTACGTATGCCGCCACAGTTAAAAACCGTGCGCTCTTTGCAACCTCTGCGTCATAGCCTGGCGGGGATCCTCAGATTTTAAAATGTAAGGGCTTGGAAAATGCATGTTCTCGCCGTTTTCGCGCCTTCTGATGTGGATTTTCGGATTCAGCGTTGCGGATAACCTCAGATAAGTTGATTTTTTAGAAATCGATTTTCTGCCCGGACACTGCCTTTAACGTCTATCCTTCCAAGTCGTTGCCGCCAGTGCGCGGAAAATAAGCAAAACGAACGCAAAAGAGGTCAGAAAGCATTTCTATGTATACAGCGGCGTATATATTCAAAATGAACGTGTTTAGTGAATGTTGTATTTGGAAGTAAAAGTTAGCGGGACTGTACGGATTTTATTAAGTAAATTTTGTTATAACGTACAGCGAAGAAAGTAGATCGATCCAGGGAGTAACCGCCAAACCAGAATTTTGAATAATTGAATAGTGAAAAGTCGTGCGAAATTTCCACTGTTATAAATCTGTTTTGAAGATGTCAGCAGTTGCGACTGCATAGGTTTTCAAGAGTAAGCGATGCTCTATAAGAAATCGAGTGTTTAGTGACATCTGACAATTAAACTCATATAAATCCTGAATGTGAAAGTGTGTGATGTTGGGACTTTACAGGTTTTGTAGAGTAAGGTCTGCCTTATCAGAATATATCCTAGCCGTGCCGATCCATTGAAAGAGCGCCAAGATCCATGGTCTTGAAAAAGCAGGTAAAAAAGCGCTTTTTGAATTTCAACAGCTCATAACTTTTTAAGAACTGCATGAATCATGTTGCGACTTCATAGATTAAATTCTCTCATCAAGAGCTCTCAGATGATATATAATATGTGAGGGTTTAGGGCCTCCTACGACTTATGCCCTCGGGGGGGGGGGGGGGAGACTTTTTATCACAAATTCTCCCACCAGCCCATCTCAATGTACTGGGTGGAGGCCGCCACGGGAAAATTAGTGATGAAAAGTCTCCCCTACGGGCATAATCGTGGGAGGCCCTAAACCCTCATGTATTATATATCATCTGAAAGCTCTTGATGAGAGGATTTAACCTATGAAGTCGCAACATGATTCATGCAGTTCTTATGAAGTTATGAGCAGGGTCAAGCGTGGGGTGTGGCATGCCACACCTGGGGGGTCGTATTGAGGAATCAGGGGAGGGGGGGGGGGGCGGGATCGTTATCAACGCAGATAATCACCGCGGGCAGGCGGCCATGCGTTTTTAGGCAAGCGGGCACCGGAAAAAATAGCTCGCTAATTTCTTGCGGTCCGCTTGCAGAAATTTGGAATAATTATGGCCGATTTTTGGACGAACGCTCGGAGAACTATCGCCGTCTTTCTGTGGATAAGTTGTGACCCAGCGGTCGCATTCTCGCAGACTTTCCGCGAGAATATGCAAAATTGTTAGGGTCGCTCGGTCTTTTGTGAAGGACGGCACTGCCCAGAGTGCCTTCCGCTGGAAGAAGGTACCCCAACTCTGGTAATTAAACCATCGATGCACCTGTGCCACACAGAGTCTTACGAGTCCAAGCGCTTTCTGAATGTCTGGCCAGCCTCGCTGAAAGAAATTACTTGCCGAGCGCTTGCAGAAAATGCTGTATTGCTGCCTGCTGGCAGAACATTAGACATCAAAGGAAGTACCTCCCGCTGAAGGTTTGGCCACGCCCCAAAATTCTGCTGACCGCCTACAGAAAATCGCGAGCTTGCGGACGTCTGCTTCCGGCGATTATCTGAGAAGGCGTCCGCTGTTCGCATAA